CCACTCCAAACATGCGAATGGCGACTCCACTATGGAACAAGACGAATACGTCAAGCAGTCAAGGGCAATCCAACACCCCGAGCTAACCGGCGCTGCACCTGAGGAGAAGGCCACCAATATGGCGGCAGACACGCGCATATGCTTGCGGAGCGCTTTGGCATACGAGCTCATCGCACAGGCATGGCCCATGGTCTACATCGTCTCGCTCGAGCGAGTGCAGAAGCCGACCAATAGTCAAGTTCGGAGGAGGCTGAACGCGGCGCCAAGACAGCTGTTATCTTGCCCACAGAAGTTGGCATACAGAGCCATTACACCAACGGACGATGCAGATATCACTAGCGACCCTGGGCACCGACGTTTAATAGGCGATGCGGACGACGAGGGAAAAGGATGCGACATCCGCGGGGCAAGCCTGTTGAGGCGTGGCCATACGCGAAACTTCACTGCCGTCATTCATCTCGTGGACGCACACTGCAAGCCACACCAATTTCAGGTTTCAGACAACTCAGCGGAAACGTCGGCTGCGGCACATAACCTCTAGGACTGCCATCCGACAACTGTCGCGCTGCACGAGCTCAAGATAGGAGCCACGACGTCCCCAGAGGAATTCAAGAACGCATGAGAGAAGGGTGGCCTCCGCGTAAAAAGTGCCCTTCGCTATCGATGCTGAGTCGGTCTTCAAATCTCTATCTAGCAAAGATCTGAGGGATCCCACTGGGTGCACCTTGCTTGGACAGGTTATGAATCAGACAGATGATGGAGAGGAACGTTGCATCTTGCGTTCAGTGGTGCGGTACGCGCGATGTGCCTGCACACGGACATACAAAATGTAGCATTGACCGCGAATTTCTCTTGCAGGTGATGCCAGGTCACCAGTCATTTACGTACGATGTAAAGAAGTATGTGCCACACAGTGATACGGAACGCACACAGTATTGAGCCTCGCCCCATGAGGGGTCGCGGATTATGCCACGAGTGAGTGGCCTGGCAACAGGCGCCCAGCAGCGGGCAGCTTACACCCATTCTTTCGCTGCCTGGTAACCCGCGGCGTTGCCTGGCGTCAGGCGCCTGGCCGCAGGCTCCACGCAGCGCCTAACGCGCTGCCTGTTTAGGACGGGTTGCCGATCAGCGGTCGCCCGTGCTAAGCATGCCGCTGGTTGTTGTTTTCATCCGCGTTGCCGTATTTCTAATAGGCTTGGCGAAAGGCCGGTTGGCTGCCTTAGTAGGCTACACCGCAAGGGTGTAGGAGTGGCGGCGGTTGGCCTACCAACAGCGGCTTTCGGCGAGGTGAGATATACGTTCGCTTCCTCCTTCGATGGGTAGGTAACGAATATTATTCATATGTTCTACATTTGTCTGGTGTCATGCGTGAGCAAAAAGTACCGCGGCACTCTTCGTTCTCCCCCCCGACTTTAAAAAATAAATTGCTTCGCTGTATGAGTGAGTGGGACCAAAGCAGGAGCGAGCGCATCCGCGGCCGTTGACGCTCAGGTGTCGACATCAGGATATGACCAGTAACCCTGACTGGTATCTGAGAAATGGAAAAAGTCCTCATCTATCCTTACATCGTCTCCAATGGCGAACTTGATCCTCAAGGTATTTTTTCGATTCATATAACGTTACCGCTTAAACCATTTTAATAGTATAAGTATCTACGTTGCACTAGATCGTACGAGAACCTTATAATCGTTTTTATATATATATATATATGACAAAACAGAAGATACTACAACACAAGACTACCATAGAACATCATGTGGCATAAGTTGATACAAGAACCGCTTCACACGCAACATTTGAAATTCATTTTTTTAGTACGCCGACGCCGAGAGGCGCAGGGCCGGGAGGCCCCCGGCGGCGGCCGCGCCGCCCGAGCGGCCGAGGCGTCGCGCGGAACCGCCGCGCTGCGGCAGCGCGCCGCCCGCGCCGCGAGGGCCGAGGCCGCCGCCGCCACCCGCCGCCCGCCGCCTGCCGCCGCCAGCGGAAAGGTTCTGGAAGGCTGTCTAACATTTTCTTTGACATTTTACGTTTCGGAAGAATCAAGGCTCTGGACGCCCGAAATGGGTACGGAAAGAATGGGTACAATGCCCAACAGCAGTTCCTTGTGATTTTGAAAAGGATTCGCTGTCCACGCCGCCGCGGCCTGTGTCCATTCGAGACAGAAGGCCTCCTGCCCAACAGCGGCCGCTGTTGGTTTGGGACAACATTTGTTGTTGGGCATTGTACCCATTTTTTCCGTGCCGATTTCGGGCGTCCAAAAAGGCGACCGGCTTGTGGTCGTTCTTGGCCTCTGGAGGCAGGTTTCGCTTGCGTCCGCCGCGCCCCGCCGCCGCCACGGGAAAGGTTCCAGAAGGCTTCCGGAAGGCTGCCCCAAAACACCGCAATGCGGTGGTGGTCGTCGTGGTCGTCGATGTGGTGGTGGTGGTGGTCGTCGTGGTCGTCGAGGCGGTGGTGGCTAGAGCCACATTTTCATTTTGAAAAGGACCCGCCTCCCATCCGTCATACACTTTCAAGCTTTGAAATCGAGTACGCGCGGCGTTCAGGCGAGAGCCACATTCTGAACAGAGCCCGCCCTCCATCCGCGAAACGGTTGAAAGATTTTGAAACGAATGCGCGCGACGTTAAGCCGATAACCACAATGTGAAAGGGACCCGCCCTCCATCCGTGAGACTGTTGCAGACTTTGAAGACGAATGCGCCTGACGCTACAGCGATAGCCAAATTCTGAAAAGGACCCGCCCTCCATCCGTGAAATTGTTGCAAGCTTTGAAGACGAATGCGCGCGGCGCTGGGGCGGGAGCCACATTTTCGCTGCGAGGGGCGTGTGGTGTGGGGGGGGGGGGGGGGGGGGCAATGTATCTTCCAGGGCCGCAATTGATTAATTTTCGCCAGAAGGGGGAGGGGGGGGAGGGTCGAGAGGTCCCGGGGTCCATGCATCAAAAAAGTGGAAGCCTCGGATGTCTGGGTTCGGAGGTTTTCGGAGCCCGGGTCGCTTCCCATCAGCCGCGCCTCGTCGAGGGCGCTCCAGGGGTACCGAAACCGTACCGAACGGCCACCTACGATTCGAGCTATGGCCCAATCACACCCATGCGGCAGAGAACCCTAAGCAGCCCCACGCAGCTGCGATGGGGGGCCACGGTGGGCCATTGGGCGTTGGAATCCACAACCGAACAGAAAACTCCCCCGTCAGATCCGACGTCGGAGCCGTAGCCTTAGACCCCATTTTTCTCCTGCGCCACTTCTTGAACCACATCGATATGTGATGGCCCCGGGGGCCCGAAATTACGGTGGGGGCGTTCGTCAGGGAACGTGCCCACGAGGCTTCGGACCTTGGAGGGTTCCTTATCTGATGAGAGCGGCGGTGACATCCATGGCGAATCCACGATCGACTTTCCACTGGCTTCCAGACCCTGGATTCCTTTCCTCGAAGGCTTCCTTCTCCAATGCCACCACCGTAGTCGAACCCGCCCGGCCCGGAGACCCGGCGGTGCCGGGGCCTCGGGGCAGCGAAACGCGCCCGTGGCTCGCCGCCCGCCGCGGACGCCGCCGGGCACCCTCCGCCGCCGCCCGCCGCCGCCCGAGGCGGCGCGGAGCCCCGAGCCTGCCGCGGCCGCGGCCGGCGCCCCCGCGGCGGCCGCCGCGGCGAGCGCGCTGGCGCCGGAGGACCCGCCGCGCTGCGCCCCTGCCGCGCGGCCGCCGCGGCGGCCGCGGCGGCGACTGGCCAGAGGGTCGGCCTCGGGCGGGGGGGGTCGGCGTCGGCAGTTTCGGCGTCGGGAGGCGGCCTCTGGAGAAGGCTCGTTTTGAGTTTTAGCCTGTGCAGCTCGGTCCGATGGGTTCCCCGGGGTCGAACCTTCGCACTCTGCAGGTGCATGCGCGTGCGTCCCGCTCGCAGCTGCTGCAGCAGGCTGAGGTAGAGGCGTAATGACCAACGAAGTCATTCCGAGCTACGTGCGAGGAAGAGGAGGAAGAGGAAGAGGAAGAGGAGGAGGAGGAGGAGGCGGAGGCGGAGGAGCACAAGGAGGAGGAGGAGGAGGAGAAGAAGGAGGGAGTTAGCTTCGGAAGGTCTGCGATACTACAACGTCAGTCGTCTGCATTCCCGTCCACTTTTGTTCAGACAGCGCCACGCGCCACTAGCTGTCCCACGACCGACTCCCGACCTCTGCACTGCCTTTCTATCCGAACTGCGGCGCCCACTGTCAGTTCTCTTCTCCCACGGCACACAGCACATTATCATTCGTACCCCCAGACGACGGCAGCACCAGCAGACGGCGACAGCGGTAACCTCATGGGGCGCGAAGGCAGTGGGTCCACGGCAGTTGGAGTCTCACCCACACTCATCGGACGTGCCACATGCATCCACGGCGGCTACATCCACAGCAGGCTATGCTACGCAGTGGGTCCACAGTCAGACAGGGCCCCAATACCCGCCGCGGCTTTCTCACCCACGCATATTGGTCATCCGACACATTGCAAGCGCACATGCGATTTGTCCGCAGGGGTGGAGCAACAGATTGCCAGACCGATTGATAGAACTCCCCCATGCGCCTCCATGGTGGCGGCCGTAAGCACCAGTTGCGAGCAGGGGCCTCGGAGGCGACAACACGAAGAGACAACTATCCAATGGTTCTGGGGCAGCCCTCACCCAACCTTCACCCCCTTCTGGCTCCACCTCCACCTGCATGCCCCCCCCCCCTGTCACCCACCAGAGCTATTCCTTCCCATTCGCGCGGTGGGGAGATGGGCGGAGGGCACTTCCGCGGGGGGGACGCGGGAGCAACTCACCGCCGGCTACCCTGTCGAGGTTCTGGGTGGCCGCGGCCGCGGCAGCGTCAGCCAGCTGCCAGCAGAACCGCGAGCCCACCTCACGTCTTTCTATATCTTGCTTGTCACGCACGCGCCACTTTCTCTATACCCACCTCTTGCCTGTGCTACCGTTATTTCACCCTCCAAACCTACCCCCACCAACTCTCGCGACGGCCGATGGGCAGGGTGGCACGGGAGGTTGGGACGAGGCAGCAACCATTGCTGGGCACACTGGCGACGGCCTGGGCGGCTGCTGCCCGCAGTGCCGCAAGACGCCCAGCTTCTGCCCAACTTTTTTCTTTCCCCGAAACTTGCAGCTGCCCCCCAGCCTGTCGTTCTACCCCACGAGCCTCAACCCGCCCGCCGCACTGGCGTTGGCCAGAGCGGCCGCAGCCAGCCGCATCACCAGGCCACTCTCTAACCTCACAGTAGCGAGGCGGGTCACACATCGGGGGGGGGCCGGAAGGGCACCGCGCAAATGATTGTCACGGCGCGCGCCAGGACGGCCGCTGGCACGACAGCCGCTCGGCTGCACGGCCACCGCCGCGGAAGGTGCAATCCGACCCCACACCTGGTGGAAACCCCAGTGTTGCCACCAGTCCCAGCCTCGGGAACCCTTCGGCTGCATCTGCGGGTGAGGGCCCCATTGGCGGGACTGTGGGCAGTGCTAGGGGGCTTCCTTTAGGTAGGGGAAGAGGCCTCTGCCCCTTTTCAACTCTCTCGCGCGTGGCCTGGCCGCACGCGTCACCTTTACGCCGCCCGCGAGCCACCACCAAGCCCCTCCACTCGCCAACCGCCCCCGCCGCCTGCCGCAACCGCCCGCCGCACTGGCGTTGGCCAGAGCGGTCGCGGCCAGCCGCACCGCCAAGCCACGCTAGCCTTGATCCAGCGGGACGGGCTACACATTGGGGGGGGGGCGGAGAAGCGCCTCGCCGCCAGCTGCCCCGGCGCGTGCGTGCCAGGGCGGCTGCTGGCACAACAGCAGCTCGGCAGCACGGGGCCGCCGCCGCGGCAGGTGCAAACACCCCCCACGCCCGGTGGAAACCTTGGTGTTGCCACTGGCCCTTGCCTCGGGGACCCTTCGCCTGCCTCTGCGGGTGAAGGTCCCATTGGCGGAACCGTGAGCAGTAGAAGAAGGCTTCCTATGGGTGGGGGGAGAGGCCGTTGCCCCTTTCAACGAGAACGCGCGCGGCCTGGCCGCGCGCGCGACCACTAGGCCGACTGCAAGCCACCGCCAAGCCTCTCTACTCACCGACTGTCCCTGCCTACACAATGCCGCATACTGCCGCTGATCCCCATCCTTTCCTCTTCCGCGGTTTTTCCTTGGCGCCCCCCCCATCCACCCAACCTCCCCAGGGCGCTGGGAGACTTAGGTACCCCGCCCCTGGGAGGGCCTGCTCGTCGCGCTTCTTTTTCCCCTGCTGAACTTCAGTTTGATCAACCCCCACCCCCCAGGGTCGACCGACCCTGGGGGGATGGCTGCGGCAGATTGACATTCTAGCCAACAGCTGCACTCAGGCGATCGCAAACATGGATCAAGGGGACGTGGATTAGCGACGGGTCCCGCTTCCATGGGAAATCGTGGGTTGCCGCCGCCGAGCGAGGCGGCACCGGCTGCATTTTGGGGCCCCTGATCCATGGATTTGGCGGCCGCGCGCCAAGTCCATGTGTCGCCGATCCAGGAGGCGAGCAGAGCGTTGTTTTTCTAATCTGTCACCGTTCTCGCTTTTACGAAACGCTTTGTTCTAAAACGCCCAAGGACGACGTTTTGTTTCGATGCCGCCAGACAGCACCGCGCCGCGCAAGGACCCCATGTTAGGGGGCCACATGCGAACCCTACCCCTACCCCCCACGATTTCTGAGGGGGAGGGTGGGGTTCACTTCGTTCGGGAGCTCCCGAGCAAAGTGAACCCCACCCTTCCCCTCAGAAATCGTGGGGGGGTAGGGGTAGGGTTCGCACGTGGCCCCCTGACATGTTGCGCGCCCCCGGTGCAGGCTGGACGCTGCAAAGAGGGGGAGGGCGGGAGTGGGGCGAGCGCCAAGGACTCGGCCATGGGGCTCGTCCCACGGGCGGAAGGCACGCGCGCCTCCTGCCCGCGCCCCACCTGGCGGAAGGGGCCGCATGCAGATTTAAGTCGGGCCTGTCCCTCTACAGGAGGAATTCAATAGAATAATTATATATATATTAATAAAATAATAATAATAAAAAAAAAAAAACAAAAAAAAAAAAAAAAAAAAAAAAAAAAAAAAAAAAAAAAACAAAAAAAAAAAAAAAAAAAACTTGGGACGATTCTGGAGCATTTTTGTTGGCCATTTGGGGGCATTGTTTGATTATTTGCTGTTTTTATTCATCGTTCAAAATCCCCCTGTAGGAGGACAGGCCCGACTTACACGTAGATGACACGAGCGGCGGAAAAAGAGACCCTGGCACGGTCGAAAAGAGGGCCCCGACCTGAAAATCAGGCGATCGCGAGCATGGATCAAGGGGGCGTGGATTGGCGAGACGCTTCCCGTTGCCATGGGAGATCGCGGAGCTCCGCCGCCGAACGAGGCGGAACCGGCCGCCCTTTGGGGAGGGCGCCTCCCCCGATCCATGGCTTTGGCGACCGCGCGCCAGATCCATGCGTCGCCGATCCGTGCCTGCGCGCCCCCGAGACAAAGGAGACTCCTCGGAAGGCGCCAGGGCTTCCGAGAAGCCCCGCCGGCTTCTGAGCAGGCCTTCGCTTTCTCGCTTCCCCCACGCCGCCCCCCGAGGTGGCCTTCTCCTCCTCGCTTCCCCCCCCCCCGCGCGCGCCCCCGTGTCTGCGCGCCCCCGAGACAAAGCGGGGCCCCGACCTGGAAAAGGCGCGGGGCCGCCGACGGCGCCCGAGGGGCCAGCGCCGTCGCCCCCGACCCCGCCGGGCGCCAGGCCAGTGCCGCGGCACGCCCAGGCGCCCCCAACGCAGCGCTTACCTGCCACCGAGCCTCCTCCTCCTTCCTCCTCCTTCCTCCTCCTCCTCCTCCTCCTCCTCCTCTTCCTTCCTCCTCCTCCTCCTCCTCCTCCTCCTCCTCCTCCTCCTCCTCCTCCTCCTCCTCCTCCTCCCTCCTCTCCTCCTCCTCCTCCGTCTCCTCCTCCCCTCCCCCTCCCCTCCTCCTCCTCCCCCTCCTCCTCTCCTCCTCCTCCTCCTCCTCCTCCTCCTCCTCCTCCTCCTCCTCCTGGTATGTCCCCCACCCCACCGGCAAAGGGAGACCATCGGAGGCGACGATAGGGGCGAATAGCTCAGGGGGGAGCAATGCACGTATCTAGGGGCGCTTATGATCTATGTCTTCGGCGAGGCTCCCGGGCGAATACGTGTAATGCCCTCCCCTGCTATTCGCCCCTATCGTCGCCCCTGAGACCAGTGGCCTTCGCAACGCCCACCAGGGCGCAGGCGCCCGTGCGACCCCGGCGCAGCGCACCGACCAGAGGAGTGCCCTCACACAGCGCCTCGCTTCTGCCCGGCCACGGCGCTCGCAGGATCGTGCAGCCGCGCTCGCCGCAGGCGTCGCGGCGCTCCAGCAACGGGCCTCCAGCCTCGCACTCACTCGTTGTGACATCCAGGAGCAGTTCAGACCCCTTCTCAACAGGGTCCAGGGAGCACAATCCGCCTGGAACGATCTCCAGCAGGCCTCCCGTACGCCTGCCATCCCTGGGGCCACTCTCCAGGAACGTCTCCAGGCGCGACTCGCTGCTCGCTGCTAGCGTGCCAGTGCCAGCTTCATCCTTCCTTTCGCACTTCGCGCCCTGCGAAAGCCCTTGGCAATCAGCTCCGTTGCCACGGCACTGGGCCCGCTGAGGGGGGCGCCAAGGCGGCGCCTTCCTGTCACAGGGTCCCAAAGCGTGCTCAAAGCCAGAGTCTCCTTTCAGTTTCGGGAGCGCAGACGAGGTCAGTTGTCGCACTGGATCGGCTGGGGTGGGGTCCTGGTGGACCTCCACCTCAGGTCATTGTCGTCCTGTGCCTGCTTGGGCACGGAGATGGACTGTCATCGTCCGCATCGTAGCCATCACTATCGTGACAGCATGGTGCGCGGATGAGGAGTCGCCGTCGAGGCGCCCCCCCAGGCCGAGCTGGTCATCCTCGTCGCCTTCGAGGTTGTCGGGGCGGGATGTCCCATGGATCGTCAAGTTCATCGAAATACCTTCGCCCTGGTGGGCCGCGCGACGGGGGTGGGTCGCCAGGCGGGCTTGACGGGTCGTCCCCGCTCCCCCCCGCGGTGAGAGGACTGGATTTCATCCGATTGAGATCCGACCTGGAAGATCCGGCTCGTCTGTCGGGGAGCAAGAAAACGTGGTGGCGGCGGTCGTATATCGCGACCGCGGTGCTCTGAGGGACAGCCGCGAATGTATGTGTCCACTTGGCCTCGTCGATGACGTCCCGTGGCATGGACATGCCGGCTCCCGCTGGAACCAGCTCGCCGGCGTAACGGTTGAAAGTTTCGCCGATTTGTGAGATGCGTCGTTCGTTGATCCCTTCCTCCCCGAGGTGACTTTCGATTTTCTGAACCTTGAACATGTCGGGTTCGGCTTGGACCACCTGATTGATTCGTTGCCAGAGATCGGCCTGGGAGCTCTTGGGTTGCGGGGAGATCCTTCAAGGAGAGCTTCGAACCCGTCGACGACGGCTTGGCTGTCGACGAAGATGTGGACGGGTCTCTCGGCTGTGGCGGTGAGGTGGAGGAGCGCCAGGGGGTCAGCGCGTTGTGCTGACTGCGCCAGGCCGTGGATTCGAGCGGAGTGGTTCAGCCAGCGCTTTGGCCCGCAGTGCACGCCGAAGCCTCCTACCCTGGCGAGTCGGTGGTGGGCTTGGTGCGAGCACGCTCCGTTGGTGGCTGCGCAGGCCCACCTAGCTCCCGTGGCGGGGCCAGCGCATTCCTCGAAGCGGTTCCCATCTCGGCCTTCTCGTGGCGGTCGGGGGATGGGCCGCGGGAGTTCGACTCGGGCGGGGTCTGCTTGCAGGTCGAGGGGCTCAGCATACTCGTCGAGAAGCCCACACTTGTCGAGTGTGTGACGGGAGGTCGCTCCATTGATCTTCAGAAATCATGGTGACCCGGGTTTTCTTTCGTCGGCTCCGAGCGGACATCTCCAGACAGCGTGCTCTTGCGTCTCCTCGCCTCGGTTGCGCCATTGGCACAGCGGGGACGGGTCGGCCGAGATACCAGCTCTCACTCTTCTTTGTTGGGCGTGGCCACCCCCACAGAGGTAGTTACACAGGAGACCGAATTGCCAAGCTGTGCACTGGGCTTTGCCAGTGGCTCTCTGGAGCCAGGCGTTGGCGAAGTAGTCAAGGCCTCGCTTGACGGCCGCCACGGCGCCGAGATCATGTCTGGATGTGGGGAGTCGTCGGAGGAATGCACGTTTCTGTTATAAGTTATGTTCTGAGCATGTGCGGGAACTTCCCAACGAGTAGGTGCAGCCACGACAGGTGCGTGCTCCACTCGTCGCGCATAGTGCCGAAAGCTGGCCAAGCTTCCAGTTCAGCGATGGTTTTCCAGACTCTGCCCGCCCCCTTGGAGCACGGACCGCTGCGGCTTTGGCGTTGAGACTGCTATCCCGTCGCACCTGCCTGCGTGGCCCGTGGAGGACCTCACGCTGTGCGATGGCAGGGGGAGAGGGGAGAGGGAGGGGAAAGAGAGGAGGGACGGGGAGGGGGGGGGGAGGGAGGGGGGAGCGGGGTGAAAGGACAAGGAGGCGAAAGAGGGAGAGGAGGGGGAGGGGGGGGAGAGGAGGCGAAAGAGGGAGGAGGGGGAGGGACGGGGGAGGACGGGGGGACGGGGGCGAAGGACGAGGAGGGGGGGGGGGACGAGGCGCCCTCCGAGGAGCCAGCCGAGCCGGGGACCCTCGAGTGGGACCCCCTCGGCTTCGGCGGCGGCCCCGACACGGCGCCGGCCGCGGAGAGCGTCTCCGTCCCGGAGGAGCTCGGGGGCAGCGAGGGAGGGGGGGCGGCCAAGCTAGGTGCGCTCGCGTCATATCTGACGTCCTACCCCTCCCTCCCATCCCTTACCATGGCGCTGATTTTCTCTATCCGCGGACGCGTGTCGTAGCGGACCTGTGGCTCCGCGCGCGCGTGCGTAGTGGGTGGTGGTGCAGTGCGTGCGTGCGTGCGTGCGTGCGTGCGTGTGTGCGTGGTTGTTGGTGCTGGTGCTGGTGCTGGTGCTGGTGCTGGTGCTGGTGCTGGTGCTGGTGCTGGTGCTGGTGCTGGTGCTGGTGGTGCGGTGGTGGTGGTGGCTGGTGGTGCTATGCTGGTGCTGGTGCTGGTGCTGGTGCTGGTGCTGGTGCTGGTGCTGCTGGTGCTGGTGCTGCTGGTGGTGGTGTGGTGGTGCTGGTGCTGTGGTGCTGGTGCTGGTGCTGGTGCTGGTGCTGGTGCTGGTGGTGGCTGGTGTTGGTGCTGGTGGTTGGTGCTGGTGCTGGTGGTGGTTGGTGGTGGTGGTGGTGGTGGTGGTGGTGGTGGTGGTGGTGGTGGTGGTGGTGGTGGTGGTGGTGGTGGCGGTGCGGCGCGGTGGTGGCGGGCGGATGGGCGCGCGAGAAAAAGGCCCGCGCTGGGGCGAGAACGCCATCCTGAACGACGGAGGCCAAACACCGATCCGAAAATGAGGCCCACGCTGCAGCGGGAGCACGATTCGGAACGATTCGGGAGCAGAAATGAGGCCGGCGCCTCAACGAGAGCAGCATTTTGGGAAAAAATGACGCAAAGAGGGGGGTGATGACCAGGGGGGGGTGGATATATGGCGGGGGCCATGATATTTCCCCAGATTTCATGGCGCCTCTTCTTGTTTCATTACGTCCCTGGCCCCCCCCGCTGGGCCGCGCACATGCCGCCAGTCATGATTTGCACCCCCCCCCTCTTGGACACCCCCCTCTTGGCCGCTCCCGAAGGCTCAGGGGGGGACGCATCGACCACCAATCGCCCATTCATCGCCGAAAGGGGCCCGAAGAGCCCTTTCCCGCCCGGGAGCGCGCGAGTGCGCCGTCGAGGGCCCATCGCCGATCCATCGGCGATGTATCTTCGGGTCGATGTCTCCCCCCCTGAGCTGGTCCCCCCCCTTCCTTGCCCCTCAGGAGTGGGTGAGGCGGCTGGCGATGGCCCATGGACTGCAGCAGCAGGCTTTTCTCGTCGACGAAGAGGAAACAGCAGAAATATCAGTTCTGGAGCTCCGTGCGGATCTCTTGGATCGGCGTTTGGGCCCTCCTTGCGGCGCCTCCGGCGCTGGGGGTCCAGCGCCGATCCAAGAAATCCGCGCGGACTTCCACGGAGGTATGTTTATGCAGCTTTTTGTGTCTACACGTCTAGACCTCGGCTCGTCGAGGGCTTAACAAGTCGTGTTGTCCCTCGACTCGCGCTGGAGCGTCCACGGTTTGCTCCAGAATTCCATGTCGATATTTGGAGTTCGGTCGGCCTATCCAGGTTTACTCGATTCACCTGGACCTACCTCAATGTATCGAAGACGCGTACGAGGGGGTCACCGCCGCCCCCTGCCTTTAAGGATACGCCTATTTGGCCAAACGTTTGGCCGAAGTTTGGCCACTCTATTGGACCATGCGCTCCCCAAGCCGTTGTGGAAGCCCTTCAGGGGAACACATGGGGGAGGAGGAGGATGAGGAGATGGAGGAAAAAGGAGGAGGGTGAGAATGATGAGGCGACCTCTTGGGAGCTTATTGGGTCATTCTGGGGGCATCCTGGGAGCTTCCTCGGGGCCTCTTAGAGGCCTCTTCCTCTCGGGCGATATTCGAGTAATTTTGGGGGCTTGTTGGGCCGTCGGACGGCTGTCTTGAAACACATGCCAAAATCCATAAAAAAACCAAGGAAAATCAATGAGTTTAGCCTCTTCGGGCCTTCCTGGAGGACCTATAGGCCTCTTGGGCCGTCTTAGAGGCCTCGTGGGGGGCGCTTCTTGGGCCGCCTTGGGCTCGCTTGGACCTCTTCGGCGGTCTCGGAGGCATCTTGGAGACCTTCTTGGAGGCCATCTTGGGGCTACCTCGGGCTCTCTTGGGCACGTCCTGCTTGTCTTGGAGGCATCTTGGAGGCCATCCTGGTCCACCTTGGCCGTCTTGGAGGCGATCGGGCCAAGGGTTAGACCGAAGTTTCCCCGGCTTTCCGTGCGGCTGGCGGGATCGGCCGAGGCCTGACCGGGAGCTCCTTGGGGAAAGGACCAGGAGCTTGCCAGACATTCGGCACGCCGCGCACCCCTGCGGCAAGCCATCAGGGGCGGCCTAACCGACCTTTAGCAGACCATCCCCTTCCGTGACGTCCACCTCGCCTCGCCCCAGGGTGAATGTATGCGGCCAGAGGGAAGCTCGGAAGGCAAGGATGACGTCACGGAAGGGGACGGTTGGCTAGGGGTCGGTTAGGCCGCGCCGCAAGCCACAGGGGGGCGGCGGATCGACTGGCCTTCGGCCCATCCCGCCAGCGTGCCCGGGTTGTGGGTCTGAGACCTCTTGGATGTTCGTTGGAATCTCGTCGAGGCTTCTCGGGGAGTTTTACTGTCTCTGGGTGGCTTGCTTGGGGCCTCTGTTGAGCCTCTTGGGGGCCTATTGGGGCCTCTTGGGGGCCTCTTGGATGCCTTCTGGGGCCTCCTGGGCGTCGCTTGGGGCGGAAGGCTCGGATTTTCGGTTCGGGTTTCCCCCTCTGGGGCTCCTCTTGGAGCCGTCTGAAGCATTTCAGAAACTTACGAAAATGGACGATGTTGGCCTGTTGGGGCACTCCTGGGACGCCTCTTGGAGCTCTCGTTAGGTGTTTTGGCGGCCTCTTGGGCCGTCTTGGGGCCATCTTGTGCGTCTTGGAGCAATACGTCGGCGACTCGGGGCCCTCTTGGACCACCTTGGGGGCCTCTTGGGGCCCTCTTGGCTGGCGATGCGATGCGGTGCGACGGCCCTTGGAGGCAGGAGGGGAGGCCCACCTACTCCGGCAGTGCGCCAGGCCGCAACAATAATGAACATCATATGATTACAGCAGGCAATGAAGGACAGTGCAAGATGCGGGCGGGCGACAAGATGCGGGCGAGCCCAGGGCGGACGCGACCAGCCCCAAAGTATTAGAATTTTGGGGTTCTGGCCTCATAAGAGAATCCTCCATAATGAGGGCTGAGGCTCAGGGAAAGGGACATTGCACGTCGTGCCACAAGGGCACGGTGGCGGATCTGGCCCCAATCCCCGCAAGTCGATTTGAGAAAAGTCGTAAAGCCCTGAAGGATCAGCTATGTGCAGGGGTGACCCTTCGCAAGAGTGGCCTTTCCCAGGCCTCCGACGACGCGATTCTTTTTGAATCGCGGCGCCTTCCCTTCATTTCGACCTCCAGGGGCCGCTTTCGGGCCCCGGGACCAGCAAGAATCAGGAGAGGAAAAAACACATACACAATTAATCATCGATTCCCAGGAAAATATAGGAAAATATGGGAAGTGGGGGGGAAAACAAAAACCCAGAAAATATTGGAAAATATGGGGAATATGTTTATTTGTGTGTATTTACTTGTGTGTCCTGGGGCCCCTTCAAAGAACGGATCTGGGACGCAGAACTACCCTCAGGGAAGTGGTTGGGAGCCCTGGGCCGCAGATGACAAAATGATGCGTGGAAACTGAACTGGGGCTGCCAGTCCTCGAGAAGCAAATAGGTTGGCCAGCAAGGCCAGCCCAGCGATGGACGTCAGCGATTGACAGGATCGTATCGGAGGATGTCTGGCTTGGTACGCGGCGTTCGGCGGGCGCGCGGGGGCAAACCCAAGCGCGCAGGCCGCTACTGCCGCATCGCACGCAGCGGTCGGCGAGCCGCGCGCCCAAGATCGCTCTTGCCTAGTGGGCACCCTTGCGTGCAGCCGACCTCGTCTCCACCATGCCGCCTCAGGGGCTCTGGTGAGCGGGGTAGGCAGCTCCCCCGCGTCGTCATCTTCCCCATCATCATCATCGCCATGCTCATCAGCAGCAGCATCACCCTCGTGATCAGCAGCAGTAGAATCATCAGCATTGTAGTCACCACAGTCCTAGCGGTCGTCATCATCATCAGTAGCAGCATCATCCTCGTAATCATCATCACCCTCATCAGATTCATCATCAGCAAAAGCATCATTAGCATCATCAACAACATCAGCATAAGCATCATCAACATCATCATCATCATCATCAGCAGCATCATCATCATCAGCATCACCAGCATCACCACCACCACCATCACCATCATCGTCGTCATCGTCACCATCACCATCATCATCGTCTGCAGTATCGTCACCATCATCAGCATCATCATGATCATCGTCGCCATCATCATCACCATCACCATCAGCATCATCATCTCCATCAGCATTAGCATCATCATCATCATCAGCAGCAGCAGCATCATCAGCATCAGCATCATCATTATCATCATCGGCAGCATCAACAGCATCCTCGTCGTAAGCATCATAATCATGATCACATCAGCAGCAGCAGCGGGATCATCAACATCCCCCTCTTCATCTGCCCCCTCCTGCTCTGGCTCCTGTTCCTCATGTTCCTCCGAGTTTGCTCCTCCTCTCCTCCCGTCCCCTCCCCTCACTCCTCTCTCTCGTCCTCCCCATTCTCCTTGTCGATTTACCCAGTTACTCGAGCTTCTGAGACGGCATATTCAGTCCTCGAGGATCGAGGCCTTTGGATACATTTGGCATTTGGGGGGGCATTTGCGGGCCAGAGGAGACGAGGAGGAGGAGGAGGAAGTGTGAGGAGAAGAAGGGGAAAGACGAGGACGCGGACGAGAGGGAGGTCCAAAGTAAACCCAGGATGCACCATGAATGCGGGACGCGCTCCATGAAAGACGAGCGCCCCCATGAGCTGGCCATTCGGGCAGGAGCCCCGTTTTGAAAAGCAATGTCATGCTCCTTCAAGCAGTGCTTTAGTTCAGGGGGGGTCCTTTCTCTTGGAGCTAGGTGGTTGGGTCGGGGCCAGGGTTTCGCAACTACCCCGGCCTTAGGCTGCTGGTGGGCGCCCCGTGCGTTGGCTGGTCGCGTTGGGGTCTCATTCGGTGTCCGCCCGTGGGCTCCCTGCGGTCTCCCCGTGCGCTGGCGGGATGGGTCCGTGTTTCGGCTGCTGCCCGCCAGTGGGCGCCTCGTGCACCTGCATTGCTACAGACCGTGCGCCCTCTCGCACTGAGGCGGGGCGTGTGTGGTCAGTGTGAAACAACAAACCGAGCCACACACCTTACACCACGTTGGTTGCACCTCCTAACTTACACCATCCAGCGTACATTACCTAGCTTGCACAGTTGAAAGTTGCACAACTCGCATAGCGTTCACCGCATTACACCACATAGCTTCAACACGCCGACTCCACTATATGGGTTTTGTTCTAACATAAGACTTGTTCGCGAATCCCTTGTAAAAAATGTGACGAAGTGCACACGCGCGCGCCGTCGCGCGCGCATGCCGAAATCCTCCAAGAACCTTCGGTGTCGGAAGGATGTCGCAATCGAGTGCCCCAAAAACATACAAAAACACAAGGTTTCGCAACACTGATTTGCTATATATATAAAAATAAATGAGCTGACGCGCGAGCTCTTGCGAAATCGTAAGAACACCATAGGTTTTTCAAGATGTTCACAAAATGCTACCAAACGGGCTTCGCGCGCGCGCATGTCGAAATCTGTCGAACGCCCTTGCGCGTGTGCCGTCGCGAGAATCCTCTGCAAAAAACGGGACGAAGTGCAGACGCGCGCGTCATCGCGCGCGTATGCCGAAATTATTCAAAACCCATCGGTTTCGGAAGGATTTCAACATCGCGTGTCCAAAACCTACAAAAACACAAGGTTTCGCAACACGGATTTTCAACAAACGCGTGCGTGCGCGCTCTTGCGTCGTCGTCGTCGTCGTCGTCATCGTCGTCGCCGTCCTCCCTCCTCCCGCGTCGTCGTCGTCGTCGTCGCCTACGTCGTCCTCTGTCTTTCCTCGTGTTCGTCGTCGTCGTCCTCTTTGGCGTCGTGGTCGTTTCCGTCGTCGTTGTCGCCGTGGTCGTCCTTCCTCCTCCTCCCTCGTCGTCGTCGTCGTCCGTCGTCGGCGTCTCGTCGTCGTCCCTCCTATTTCGTCGTCGTCGTCGTCGTCGTCGTCTTCCCTCCTCCCTCGTCGTTGTCGTCGTCGGCGTCGCCGTCCTTCCTCCTTCGTCGTACGCGTCGTTGCCGTCCTCCCTCCACCCTCGTTGTTGTCGTCGTTGTCGCTGTCGTCGTCCTCCCTCCTCCCTCGTCGTCGTCGTCTTCGTTGGCGTCGTCGTCGGCGTCGTCGTCGTCTTCGTCGTCGTCGGCGTCGTCGACGTCGTCGTCGTCGTCGGAATCGTTGTCGTCGGCGTCGTCATCGTCGTCGTCGGCGTCGGCGTCGTCGTCGTCATCGTCGTCGTCGATGTCGTCGCCGTTGTCGTCGCTGTCGTCGTCGTCGTCGTTGTCGTCGTCGTCGGAAACGTCGTGGGTGTTGTCGTAGTCGTTGTCGTCGGTGTCGTCGCAATCGGTCTTAAGAAGTTTTGCAAAACAAGTTGCGGGTGGGTGGGCGGGATGTTTGCAAGAGCATGGGAAGTGTCAAATCATGGGTAAAAATTAATTGCAAGACCTAGATTACACCACACAGCTTGCAACATAAAGCTTACACCACCTAGCCTGCACAACGCAGCTTGCATCGCACAGATTACACCACACGCAACTTGCATCAGATAGCTTGAATTACAGCCACATTTGATTTGAATAAGTAGACTGCCCTCATCAACTTGCACAGCTAACAACACATCGTTTTCACCACAGAGCTCACACCATATAGCTTACACCGCCTAGCTTACGTCTCATACGTTATGCGACATAGTTCCCGACATGAATTGCATCACGAAGTTTACACCACGCAGCTTGCACGACCTAGCTTACACCACAAAACGTGCATCGCACAGTTTACACCACATAGCTCCCACCTCATAGCGTACATCACAAAGCTTCCGCCACTTATATTGCACCACATTGCTCACGTCCAAAATGCAATGACTCGTTGCTTGGGGACCACGTTGGCGATTTTTTTTTTGCTAAAGGAAGTGCAAAGCGGTCGGATCACAAAGATCAAAGAATTGTCAAACGAGACCCCGTAAGGAGCCGGCCGCCACCCGAGTGATTGTTGTCATTGATGGTTGCGGTTATTGATTGAGTCTCAAGCGAATGCCGCCATCCATGCGTGTAATTGTTGCGCGAGTTTACAGATCTGGCTGTAAGCGTTGCGGAAGTCTCACACGAAAGCCCCACTTGAAAAAGGGACGTCCCTCCATCCTTGCAGCGGCTGGTAACCTTTACGGCGAATGCACGCGGCGCTAACGCGAGAACCACATGGTTTAAGCCGCGTGCCGCGCGGAGCGCGGATCGCAGAGCCAGATGAGCCATGTAGAAAAACGAAGTCTACACGGACATTGGCGTGTAAGTTGCCAGGCTAAAGTGGCGCGAGGGCACCCTCGTTTTCAATGTGGCGTGCCGCGTTGGCGGCCCGCGTAAGCCACCGCGTAAGGTCGCTACGTCATCTCGCGTAGGACCCGCTTCTTGTCGTCGCTCAGATGGCATACGGTCAGTACACCTGTCGATGAGATTGAGGACTATGTATTAACCGAGTGTTTGCTTACCCCGTTCGGTCCTCATCACATCGGCTGCGTCGTTTTGGATGGCTTAGGTGAACAAGCACGCGTTTGCGCAGACACACATTCTGAGGATCATGGATCCTGCGAGGCCCCCACGCCACTCTGGTCTTAGCAGTTCATGTGTTGAAGAGGAGAAAAAACTAGGTGACGTAAACATAAAAACTCGGAGCTCCGCGCGGATTTCAAGGATCCACGCTGGACCCCCCTCCCTGCCGCGCGGAGCGCGCTAGGGGCGGCGCCGGAGGCGGAGCCAGGGGGCCCCAGCGCCGATGCGAGAAATCTGCGCGGACCTCAGAGTGTTTATGTTTATGTAATTCTTCGTTCCCTAAAAAACTCTCACACACATACATGTATATATACATGATCTGCGGGGCGAGAGCGAACCCCTTCCGCTAAAAGCTAGACGAAAACTCACACACACACAATCTATACATGTATATGTATATGTGTTTTACTTTTTTCTTTTTTTAACAAAAAAACAAAAACAAACAAAAAAAACAAACAAAAAGAAAAAAGGATCCTGCGAGGCCCAGTGTGGCCAGGCCGCGGGCCCCGTGCTGGCCGCCACGCCCGCGCAGTCCCGGATGCGGCGCAAGCTGCAGCAGCGGCGCGAGGCGCAGCAGAGGAGCGGGGCGGCGGCCGCTCCGGCGGCGCTCATGGAGGACAGCACGCCCGTGGACGATTCCTGGATCGACGAGCTCGAGCAAGACGAGGTCAAGGCTAAGGTTCCTCAAAGAAGAAGAAACGGCATAAACATACACTGTTTCGGCGCTCCGCGCGGATTTCTTGGATCCACGCGTGGGCCCCCCCGGCGGCGCCTCCGGCGCTGCCCCTGGCGCGCTCCGCGCGCCAGGGAGGGGGTCCAGTGCAGATCTAAGAAATCCGCGCGGAGCGCCACAAAAGTTCATGCTTGTGCCGTTCTTTCTTCTTCTGGTTCTCGATCCCGCTTCTCACCGCCCGCCAGCACCGCCCGATGATCCTCGGGGCGTGTGCTCACCCAGCGTGTGCGTGCCTGCCCCGTTCAACTCCGACGGCGGCACGCAGCCTGCGCTGGCCCTCACCACACCGCCCGCGTCCTCTCGGGGGGCTCCGGTGGACGAGCACACGCTGGCGCTGACACGCGTGCTGAGGATCATCGATAAGAGGGAGGGAAAGCGGCACAAACATGAATTTCTGGAGCTCCACGGGAATCTCTTCGGTCGGCGCTGGACACCCTTCCCTGGCGCGCGGGGCGCGCGAGAGGCAGCGCCGGGGGCGCCGCCAGCGCCGATCCGAGAAATCTGCGCGGAGCTCCGACAGTTTCTGTTTGTGCCGTCTTTTCCTTCTTCCGACCGAGCCATGAGCGGGAGGCGGACGACCCCCGAGGCAGCCGACGTCGTGATTTGCTCACAGCATGGCCCCCACAGTCGACCAGACGTAAGATTGGCCTGTCGCTGAAGTGACCTTTGGTGCGGGCCCGATGGGGCCCCCCGATCGCCGAACGCGAGGCGGCAGTGGCGTCTTGCGCGCTTGTGTTTGGCCCCCCCGCTGCCTCCAAAAAGCCGCGCACCAAATGTAGCTGGTACAGAGAATCACTCCTGCGTGTAGCCGACAAAGGACAAAGGTCTGGACCACTTCCCCAGGACAGGCTGTTAATCCGGAGTCGTTTTTTGCCAGCGATCGGGGAACAAGCAATGACATAAATGTAAAAACCAGGAGGTCCGCGCAGATTCCTCGGATCGGCGCTGGACCCCCTCCTGGCGCGCGGAGCGCGCCAGGGGCGGCGCCAGAGGAGCCGCCAGGGGGCCCCAGCGCCGATGCGAGGAAATCCGCGCGGACTTTTGAGTTTTTGTGTCTATGTCAACGCGTGTTCCTTTAAGCGAGGGCCCCCAGAGGCCGAAAATTGCCAAAAATCATCCGTCCTGATCTTTGCCACGACGCGGGGATGTCTGGTTTTCGAGCCATAACTCGGGTCTCCCGCGGCCGTTCGAAATGACCTGGGCACCCCCAGAACGCCCTCGGCGAGACGCAGCTGCTGGAAAGCACCCGCGGGGCTAGGTGAGGGCGAACGGAGGTCGAAAAATATCGAAAATCGTGAGTCGAGATTCTTGCCACGACGCGGGGATGTCTGCTTTTCGGGCCATAGCTTGAGCCTCCCGCGACCGTTCGCGACGACCTTGGCATCCCTAGAACGCCCTCGGCGAGGCGCAGCCGCTGAAGAGCATCCCAGGGCCCCAAAACCTTCAGGAGCCAGCGAAACATTCGGAAAACTTTCGAAGGACGCGAGGAAAACATTCGAACCGTCCGTCGTGAGGATTTCACTGCGCGAGGATGTCTGGGAGTGCCGATCTCTGGGCCTCGGCGGGCACACGGGCCGGGGCTGCCAGGGAGGGTCCCCAGGGGGAGCGGTCGCGGCCGCCTCTTGCCCGTGGGCCGGCGGCGGCGGGGAGCGCCGGGCCGACAGCAGGCGTCGGCGGCAAGGGCGCCGAGGGGGCTGAGGAAGAGGCTCGCCGTGAGCATCTGGGCCTCCCAGGGTCGGTGGCGAGCTAGGGGGGGAAGCGAGAGGTCCCCGGAGGTCCTGGCGTCTCCGTTTTCCTCGCTGGGTGTTTCCGCCTTTCTGCGAGCCCCAGGTCTAGTGCTCTGGGCGTGATTTTTCACGATGTTGCGAATTGTTCGCTACGTCGGATCTCAGGGTAGGAGGCCTTCCGAGAGGTTTCTTCTGTGTCTTCGGGAAGGCTCAAAAAGCTGCTCGGAAGGCCGGGGGGCTTCCGAGCCTTCCGAGAAGACCCGCCCCTTTAGCACTGCCCCCTGGGCTCGCCACCGATCTGGGCCTCCCAGGTGGAGTCCGAGCAGGTGGGGTCGAAGGATTGATCCGCATCGGCGATGTGTCGACGATGCGGCTCGATGTGGAGCCAGAGTTGCTCCACGCCGAAGGCACCGATGCATCGCCGACGTCGCCAATGCACCGCCGTTGCATTGGCGACGCATCGGCGATTCATGACCGATGCGGCGCGATCCCCCGACCTCATCCACTCGGACCTCACTCGGGAGGCTTCTGGAGAAGCAAGCGAGTGCTGAGGGTTTCGGAGGTTGCCAGAGGTCCGCAGGATCCGAGCGCTGCAGTTTTTCACGACGGGCGTCTTCGCCCATCTGCGGGGCGTCGGGGCCATCACAGATCGACCCGGCTCGAAAAATGGAGCAAAGAGACGGGGCCCAGGGCTCAAGCTGTGACGTCTCACGATGCTGTATTTTTCCGCACTGTCGGATCTCAGGGGGTTCGTGACGTCGGACCTCAGGCTCGTCTAATTACCAATCCCTATCCCCATTGGGCCATGACATCTCAGCCCCACCAGCCCACCCTCCCAGGTGGGGACAGACCCCGCGAAACCCGAAGGAACAGGCATGCAATCCCCAAACAGTGCTTGTACTTAGGGGTTCTTACTCCTTTCCTAGGGAGCTGGGCTGGTGTGGCGGACTGGCGGCTATGTTGTCGCCGTCGCCGCCCCGTCCCCGCATCGTCGCCGCCCGTCGTCTGGGCTGGAGTGGTGGTCTGGCGGCTATGCTGTCGCCGTCGCCGCCCGGTCACCGCCTCGTCGCCGCCCGTCGTCTGGGCTGGAGTGGTGGTCTGGCGGCTATGTTGTCGCCGTCGCCGCCCCGTCGCCGCCTCGTCGCCGACCGTCGTCTGGGCCAGTGTGGCGGTCTGGCGGCTATGTTGTCGCCGTCGCGCCCGGTCGCCGCCTCGTCGCTGCCCGTATCTGGGCCCGTCTGTCGGTCTGGCGGCTATGTTGTCGCCGTCGCCGCCCCGACATAGATTGCACAGCACAAAGTGCACCATATATATTCTCCGGGTTAAAAAAAGGAATGAGGATCTACCACCCTCCCCCCCTGGACTTATCTGTCACCCTGGGGGATGTGCAGTTTACATATGAGTCTGCACCATCGCTACTTCTAAATATCCTATGGTTTTCGGCCCATGCCGCCACCGTGCCTGGGTTGTGGGTATGAGCTCTCTTGGATGTTCGGTTGGATCTCGTGCGGAGCCTCTTGGGGGCCTTGGGGCTTCTTGGGGGCCTTTTGGTGAGGAAAGCTCGAATTTTCGGTTCGCGCTCCCACTCTTGGGCCCCTCTTGAGGCCGTCTTGGGGCCCTCTTGGGCAGTCTTAGACGCCTCTTGGCCCACTTTGGGCGCCTCTTGGGCCGTCTTTGGGGCCTCCTGGGGGCCTCTTGGGCTGTCCGGGGGCGATATTCGAGGCCTCTCTTAAGCCATCTTAAAGCGTCAAAAATCAAAAAAAAAAAAAAAAAAAAAAAAAAAAAAAAAAAAAAAAAAAAAAAAAAAAAAAAAAAAAAAAAAAAAAAAAAAAAAAAAAAAAAAAACGACCAAGCCCAACACCTCCACAAACCCACGAAAAATCCATTAGTTATCCCTCATTCAGCCCTCCTGGGCGTACCCTTAAAGGCGGCCATCTAGGAAGCCTCTCGGGCCCCCTTGAGCCCATCTCGAGCCCGAAAACGTTACGCGACAAGACGACCCAGACACACGTCAAGCCCCAGAAATTTAAGAAGTTAAAGTCCGGGTCACTTAGAGAATCTTCAACAAGAAAAAGCGAAGCTCAGAGAATTAGACAAAGGACCTAAGGACACGCTCACTCTGTGCCCAAGGGCACGGTGGCGGACCAATTCCTACCATCCCAGCCAAACCCGGTTCGATCTCGCCCCCTCCGTCATCTTCATGAAATATGATTGTGCGCGCACCCTCGTTCATCAAGGATCACCAGCTGCCAGGAACACTTTGCCAAAAAATGGACGAAGTGCAGACGCGCGCGTCGTCGCGCGCCCATGCCGAAATCCTTACGAAACCGTTGGGTTCGTGAGGACTTCCAAATCGAGCGTCCCAGAAGGATAAAAACAAAAAACAAACAAAAAATGCAGCACATGATTTTTCAAAAACCAAAACACTGCGCGCCCGTTCCTGCAACCATGCGTATTTCAACATGTTCATCAAATCCAACCAAGCGGACCTCTCGCGCGCGAGTCTCGAAATCCTTCGAGCACCACTGCGCGCGTGCTGGGGGGGAGGGGGCGCGATCCCTGTCAAAAACACCATGCGGGCCACTCGCGCGCGTCGGCCGCGCGCGCATGTCGAAACCCTTCCAAAACCTTCATCACAGAAACATGGACACTATCATCGTCACCGGCGTGATCAGCATTGGCGCCCGCCGTCTGTGACCTTGCCGTCTTCATTGTCATCATCGTCACCCGCGTCGCTACTATCCTCATGGCGTTTGCCGTTGTCGACGTCACCATGATACCGCGCCCGCCCGGGCCACCGACTCGCACGAAAGTGCCCGCGCGTCAGCGCGGCCGGCGAGACGCGTTGGGAAGTGCCCAGCGGTCAGCGCTACCGCGGCTGCGTCGGTCGCGCCAGACCAGCTAGCCGCTTTGCGCGCGCGAGCCTGCGCGCGCTAGCGCGGCCGCAGCGATGTGCCAGCCAGCGCCAAGCAGACTTCGCAATCGCCGCCGCATGGGTTGAGCGAGCAGTGGCGTTGGCAACTTCAAGATCGGCAGGGCGAATTGCACCACATAGAGATTGGTTTCTTTCCAAAGCGGAATTAGGATCTACCACCACCACCCCACGCTCGATCCCCACTCAATGGGATATTACTATTTACATGCGATCCTGCCCCATCGTTGATTCGAACTATGACTCTTCAAACCATCCCAGGGAGTGCCTTCATCGCCCCCCATCATCTTTGTCAAGAAGAACTATGCGCGCACATTCGTTGATCAATAATCATCGGCCCACACGAATCCCTGCAAACCGGAGACACAGTCAACACACGCACGCCGTCGTGCGCGCATGTTTGAACCTTCAAAAAACTGAGCTGTCGCAAAGAATTCGAAATCAATATCTCCAGGAAAATTGTAACAACATGTTGCCACATAATGTGTCAAGAAAGGTTTCGCGCGCCCGCGCGAATTCGCACGAAAACCTTCGGTCTTTCAACATGTCCACCACATTCAACCAAGCGGACCTCTCGCGAGAGCATATCGAAATCATTCGAACGCCTTTGCGCGCTTGCTGCGGGACACGACCCCTGTCAAGCATTACCCACGCGGGCCACTCGCGCCCGCCGGTCGCGCGCGCACATCGACATCGCTCCACAACCTTCATCACCGACACGTGGACACCATCTCCGTCATCGGCGCGTTCAGCATCGGCGCCGTCATTGGCCGCGGGCGCGTCATCGCCATCATCGCCACCATCGTCGCTACTATCTCCAGCGCGCCTGCCGTCGGCGACGTCGCCATATTGCCGCGGCCGCCGCCAGAGCCAACGACTCGCACTAAAGTGCCCGCGCGTCAGCACGGCCTGCGAGACGCGCTGGGGGTCCCCAGCGGTCAGCGCCACCGCGCCGCGTCGGTCGCGCCAGACTACTTGGCCGTCCTACGCGCGTGCGCTGGCGCGACCGCAGCGACGCGTCATCCAACGCCAAGCAGTCATCACAATCGCCGCCGCATAGGTTTTGAAAACCTAGATGCGGGCGGGCGGGCGGGGCAAGTGCGCGAGCAACAGAGTTGACGATTCACTGAGCAAAAAAAGGAATTACAGCACATAGGTTGCACCACGTACGGTGCACCACATCTATTGTACAGCAAAGGTTGTAGCTTCCAAACATGAGTTAGGATCTATCACCCCCGCCACCGCCACCACCACCCCACCCCACCCCGCGGGTTTATCTCCTTCCTGGGCAGAGTTTACATACGATTTTGCCCCATCGTTCATTCAACCTAATGAGTTTACAGCAGCGCAGCCAGGCTGATAATCCCCCCCGTCGTCCTCGTCAAATATTACTATGCACGCGCACTCGTCCATCAAAAAACATCTAATGGCCAGAACCCTGTCCAAAAAAACGGCACGAAGTGCATACGCGCGCGTCGTTGTTCGCGCGTGCCGAGGCTGTTCGAAAATCGTGGGTTTCGCACAGATTTCAAGTTGGGCGCCCCGGCAATATTTGGAACAACCGAAACCATCGCGACATGATTCTTCAAAGACAACAAGTCTGCGCGCGACCGAAGTCGTATCAAAACTATTGGTTTTCCAAATGTCAATAAACTGCGACCGAACGGGCCTCCTGCGCGCGCATGCCTAAGTCATTCGAACGGGGGGGGGGGGGGCACGATCCCTGTTAAATAATCCCCACGCGCGCCACTGGCGCCCGTCGGCCGCGCGCGCACGCCGAAATCCGTCCACAACCTTCACCGCCGACACGTGAGCACCATCATCGTCACCCGCGCGTTCAGCATCGGTGCCATCATTGGCCGCGCCGTCGTCATCGCCATCGTCGCCACCAGTATCGCTACTATCATCATCGTTTCTACCGTTGCCGACGTTGCCATGATACCGCGCCCGCCCGGGTCGCGGGTTTGGTTTCAAGTGCCCGCGCGCCAACACGGTTTGCGAGTCGCGCTGGGCACCCCCAGCGGTCAGCGCCGCCGCGGCCGCGCC